TTGAATATAGAATATATACAATATGAACTATATTAGGTATAATATACGGTGCAATCAAAATATTAATGGTGGAGAGTTCTTTGCTAAGCGGCAGGCTAGAGGGATGGAAAAAAAATAAATAAACGAAAAAAATGAGAGTAACAACGTAAGGAGTGAAAAAAAAATCCTAAAAACAAATAAAATAAGAAAACACAATTACAAAATAAACTTTAAAAAATCTAAATTTCATTAAAACATCCCCCACCCCCCCAAAGAAAAAAGTAACGAAAAACTAATCATAACCCGTATGTACAGTCAGAAAAAATAAGCATCGTCACCCTTTGCACAAACTAATATGAAAAATCGACGAAGCGGTGTGGAAAAGCGAGACTAGGTAGTTATCACCGTAATCTGGTGTTAACAGAAAGAAGCGTTCAACTCCTCAGTGACCATAAATAAAGATAACGATATTCTTTACCTGTTTACACAACATGCATAAAAGCCATAGACACACCTTCCCACAAGGACAAGACAAGATAAACATCACATTAAACCAGTTAAAACATACTACACCAATTTAACAACAGACCAACTTAGCGAACGGAGATTCCAAGAGACAGTCAGAGACACAGCTTCCCATAAGGATAAGGCACAACGAACACCACATTAAACCAATGAAAACATACTAATCCAATCTAATAACAGACCAACTTAGCGAACGGAGAATCAAGAATCAAGTTTAACCGAAAAACGAACACGCTTTTAATACCATCATCGTCCACCTCGAACTTGACGGCGCAGGAACCCGCACAAGATGTCACTCGATCTTGACATCGTCCTCGAAAATCACAGCTCGAGACGTAGCAGGTCAGCGCCTCGCCTGTGGGAGGGAGGGGGGGGGGTAAATCGAAGGGCTTAAAACATAGGAAATGGAGAGGAATTCGAGTTATAGATAGATGGATGGGTAGATAGATAGATGGAATGATTGATAGATAGAAAGATTGATGGATAGATAGATAAATAGAGAGCCAGATAGACGAGTAACAGAATGATAGATAGATACTAGATAGATGCATACATACTGATCACTGATAGATAAATAAATAGATAGATAAATACATAAATAATAGACATACAAATAGACAGATAAACAGATAGATAATAATAAACTGATAAAAAAGGGATTGAATAAATAGACAGACAAAGTAGATAAATAATTGATTAATAGATAAATAGAAAAAAACATAAACAAATTATTATGTGCCTCTCTTTTATTATGTTTTTCTTCTTTGTGTCTATCTGTTAGTTTCCTTTCATTCGTATATTATACTTTTATTAGTAGTAGTATTAACCTTTTTATTCAGCTCTTCATCATGAGTATTGCACGTCAAACAAGCATGGTAATAATAATGTTAATAAGTATGATAAGGACAATAATGATAATAATAACGATGATAATAATAATGATGATGATGATAACAATAATAATGATAATAATAATAATAATAATAGTAATAATAATTATGATAATAGTAATGATAACAACAACAACAATGATAATAATAATGATAATAATAATAATAATAATAATAATAATAATAATAATAATAATAATAGTAATAATAATAATAATAGTAATAATGATAATAATAATAATAATAAAGACGATAATGAGAGAAACAGTAATAATACTAACAGCAACAACCATCTTAATAATGACAAAAATAAAAAAGAAAGCAATGAGACAAAAAAAAAAAAAAACACCAACAGCAGTTAACAATGTTATCTCGTCATGCTCTGTTCCTTGTGTGATATTTAAAACAAAGTGGCTTTTGTCTCCATTGTTCAGAAATTTCCTATCTGCATAAAGGCCAAGAGTTGTTTACTAATATGAAAAAAAAACAATAAACACGTTGCAAAATGTGAATATGGCAGGGAATTTATCATAACAAATGTAAATGAATTTGGCATAATTGTGATTTATATTATGAACATTCTAGAACTCTGACAAGAACTATAGGGGGGGGGGGCACAAAACATTGGACCATTAAAATGTACAAATATTCATAACCTTTTTAATGCAATCACGAGGTTGACAAAATATGCGAAGATCGTCAAGATATGTGGAGGTTTGGGAAACATATAGAGGTTGTCAAAATATAGAGAGATTACTAAGATATGTGGAGGCTGTCTAAATATGTAGAGATTACCAAAAATATGTGGAGGTTACCAAGATATGATTAGGTTACCAAGATATGTGGAGGTTACCAAGATATGAGAGAGTATTTCACCTTTTAGAAAATCACTCTTAACCCTCATATTTTCAGGCTAATCAGTACTTTATACAAGGATATCGTAACAGAAATGAAGGGACGCGCGAAATGCAGAATTCTAGCCACGCGTTCTTATGTTTAAATTCATATATATCCTTATGATTATGGAAGATCTTTGGTGTAAATGTATTGTGTAGGTTATGTAGGACGCAATAAAGGGTTAGAGAGTAAAGTGAGGAAATAGCAAG